ATGTATTTTCAAAATATACAATTAAATAAATCACATAATTTCACGTTTAATTGAACATATCACATAATGTCACATATAGTGCTAGATAACATTATTCCTCTAGATTTGCTTGGATTTTTTTACTTCCATGAGAAAGACATTGTACGTGTCAATATGTGTTAGTGAAAAATCACAAGTTATTGTAACAATTAAACAAGTAGCAAAGAGGACTTAAAAAGTTCAAATTATTGTCTCAAGTAGATTAGTTTAATCTGAATATCAATTTAAAGTATCCTATCTTTTATCTGATGAAAACAATTTCAAGCAAAGTTTTGATTAAAACTAATATTAACTAAAATAAGTAAAAGCAATTAAACAAAAAACCTAGCAGCCACGAGAAATATTCTTTCCAAAAATAACAACCCTAGCAGCGTCGCACAAAATAATGGCGGGGCGCCTCCTCCTCCGCCGCCCCTCATGGCGGCAGGGGGAAGTGCAAACTACGCTTCCATGGTTTAGGCATGTCCACAACCGATCCCAGAGATGAAGTTCGAGATGAGGCAGCCTATGGAGAACGAAGGAGCACTTGGGTTTCATTTTTCAAAAGCTGAACTGGACCAGGCGGCTTCCCCTTTCCGGTATTCTGTTGTTTTGAAATTCCTAAGAAGAAGACCATCACTGGATCAGATCCAGATATTCATCAAGGCTCGATGGGGAATAAAAGATTTTGATTCCGTGAGCAACATGCAACGGCCACGTAATGTTTTTGTCCGGTTTTCTTCAGAAGAAGATTTTGGCATTGCGTGTGCTAGAGAATCATCTGATATCGAGGGCACACCTTATAGACTGGTGATATGGTTTCCAGATTTTGATGAAGACAGTGAATCCTCATTGATCCCGGTTTGGGTCTTTCTTCTTGGTTTACCACCCCATTATTATCACGAATCTATGTTGCGTATTATCACAGGGGCTTTTGGACGTTTCTTGAAAAGAGATAATTTCACGGCATGTGCATCCCGCATAGATGGGGCCCGCGTCTGCGTAGAGGTCGACGTCTCCAAACCTTTGGTGGAATCATTCTGGTTGGGCGTCCCGTTTCATCCGTTCAGCAGATACCAGGAAGTCATCCATGAAAAACTCCCAGCATACTGTAAGTTCTGCAATACTATGGGGCATTTGGAGGAAGTTTGCAAGAAGAGGAAGGAGACTGGTGAAATTAAATTCTCCGAGAATACTCAGCCTAAAAAGATCTGGTGGAAAAAAGACACCACAGGTGTATCGATGGAACGGCCAATGGAAACTGAAACAGTGAAACGAGACACTAGAATTGCAAAAAAATGGAACAGGATCTTGCAACGAAATACCTTGATCCCTTCAGACGCTACTTTGTTTGGGCACAATGATGGTAGTTTTGCTACCATTTTTGATAATGTGGAAGAAACCCATCCAACGAATAATAGAATTGCAGGTAGAAAGGAAACCAACACATGTGCTGATAAATGTATCGGGCAGGACAGGAACCAGATCAATAGTGGCACAAGGGAGTTTAATGTAAGATCTAAAGATAGTAACATGGAGAAAGCAATGGAGAAGTAGCAACCAAAGTTTGGTCACATTTTGCAGCCCATTTCAACATAGTTCTCTCGACTGTTAATACTTGGAAGGCTATGATGAATTTATGGGGGAAAAAGGCCTCTAGATCTTCACAGATGGGTGTTCTTCGCAGCGTTGCACCAAGAATTATCACATGGGAGCTGTGGACAACCAGATGTACCGCTCAAATGGAGGGATATCCTGTCTCTGGCAGAAAGCAATCTGGCAAATAAAATCAACTCTATCTCGTCTAATCTCCAAGGCCAACAAAATGCCTGACTGGGATATCCAATGCTTGCGTTCATTAAATTGCCCAATTAACGAAGTTAAACGAGCTAAGGTGAAGCTGATTAGTTGGAAAAAATCGGAGTGTGAGCACCTAAAATTAAATGTTGATGGTGCTTCAAAGGGCAACCCAGGTCCAGCCGGCGGATGGGGTCTTTTTCGCGACAGTAAGGGTACTTGTCTGGCCAGTTATTCTCGCCATTACGGTAATTGTACAAATATAGAGGCTGAGACCCGTGCATTGCTTAATGGTCTGCGTATGTGTAGGGATCTTGGTATTACAAATTCAGTTGTTGAAACGGACTCTAAAATTGTGGTACAGTGAATAATAGAGGGTCATGTACTCTGTGGTGGCTTTGAGATTTTTGGGAGGAAACTATGGAACTGATCCATAAGCTTAATGTCCGGTTCATCACGTGTTACGGGAAGCAAATATGGCGACTGATTTTCTTGCAAAAAATGGCTGTGGAGGCTCATCTACTGACCTGTTTTTCTGTAATGTGGTTCTGACTCTACTTCAAGGAATCTTGTACACGGATAGTTTGGAATTGCCTTACCTTAGAGGATGATATGTTTCAATTTGAGGTTGTTTATTGTAATATTGGTTTTCCTCCGCCACATGTGAGGCATTTTTAATAAAATTTCCAGTTTTCTATTAAAAAAAAAAAAGTAAAAGCAATTAAACAAATGTGTTTTCTTTAAATTATGTGTAAATTAATCAATAAGATGGTTAAAACATTGCAACTCATGATTTCATCATAGTGATCAATCTAAATTTGTACTCCATCGGTTTTTTTTAATTAAATCAATTTACCTCTCTTGATTTCACATCAATCCTATTTAGTTTAAGTCAACTCATTATATCTCTATAACAATCTGAATAAATCTCAACTAAACGAATTAAATCACCTAAGAATTTAATTAAAGACCGTAACAATAGTAAATTATATCTCTATTTTACTTAATTGTTGGATTTCACTATGTGATCTAAATGTATAACTCAACTCTCGTTTTGTTACAATTCATATATCATGAATTAGTGATCGAGTAATTCAATCATTAAGAAAATAAGTAAAATCAATACATAAACATGTCTTAGGGTATGCAGCAACAAAATGAAGAGCATAATGAACCTGATCTTACTTTCATTTTCTTAATATTGTCTAATCATGCCATTATTTTACAAAAACCCATGTGATTGCTAGTACAGTTACTTGATTTATTGAAAGTACCAGATGGGCAGATTCAAGGTCTATCTAAAACCAAAAACCAGAACATGGCCGAGTTGTGCAAGGTGGCCAAAGAGCTAAAAGGATCAGTTTATGTCATTTCAGATGAGTCATTATACATTCAATTAAATAAATTATGTGACTTTACATTCAATTAAGTCTATCATTTAATATCATATACTTGCCACATAAATCGGTACTTAATATAGTGGTGATGAATAGTATTACTCTTATTGTTTGTCTTCTTTCTTATTTCTGTCTCTTTGAAGTATTCGAATTCCTTCTCGTCTAAAAGTATCTTTTCCATTTTATTGGGACTTGAACACCAAGGATAATGCCCAAGCAAATGTTGGAGTATATTTAAAGAGTCGGTTTTGTTTGGTGTACATTCATGGTTGACATTGTATGATATGGCACACAATTTTGTTATTGCTTTTAACAACACTTCAAAAAATTAATGGCCTCGATTTTTACACCCCACACAGTATCAATCATGATGTACACAAAGAATGTACAAATAGAATAATTCTTAAAGAGTAATTCCTAACTGGTTGTGTGAATTGTGATTATTTCATTTATAATTGGTTTTCAAAAACTTAAAATGAATCTAATGGTTGCGCAGTGGGTGAAATTCAAGTGGAAAAAACTGATTGCATCCATAGTCCCAAATAAATTATTAAAAAATTAGAAATTAAAATTTTTCTTATAGAAAAAAGTGCAAACGAGTTCCAAATAAATTATTACAAAATTAGAAATGATTTTTTTAAAAGTGCAAATGAGTCTCAAATTATTAAAAATTAGCAATTAAAAATAATAGTTTTCTTTAATTTTCTTTTTTTTTTAATTTAAATAGGAGAGCATATTCGTCATTCCACAGCTTTTATTGAGAAAATTAGATGAAAATGGATAGAAATACTGGTTTGCACAATCAAATGTGTAATTATGGGTGAAAATGCCAAAAAAATGAAAGTATAAACTTTTTTTTTTACAATAATAATGAAATGTGCGGACATTATGTGCTAATTATTATTTTAATAATTTATTTGGAACTCGTTTTCATTTTTAAAAAAAATTTTAGACTATAATTACAATTAGTTCTTTTTTTTTCTTTTTGTGTTATTTAAAAATAAGCGTATCTTCGTCGTTTCATAGCTTTTAATTGAGAAATGGATGAAAATGACATTTTACACAATGAAATGTGGAAATAAGGGTGAAAATGTCAAAAAAAAATGAAAGGTAAGAATGTTTTAAAAATGACGTTATGTGCTAATGACCATTTTTGACAAAAATATATTTTGGAATGGTGATTTCATTGAAAATGTGCGGTTAAAAAATAAGAAAATATTTTGAATTTGCACATAATATTATTTTATTAAAAAATATATTTTGAAAATAATGATAATCAAACAAGAGCTTAATTAGATTACTAAATTTTAATTTATTTCTAAAGTCAGTGCTACGTTACATTCCCTATCGTATATCATCCCAAAGTGATAAAAGTTATTTAGTTAGCAATCACAACATAACGTATTCTCCAAGCAAAAAAAAAATGATAAAACATGATTTATATTAATGTCATTTAGATTAAAATATTAAATACTTTTGTTTTATTAAAACCTTCGTAATATGAAGTAGTGATAAATTGACAATCTACTATTGATTACTAGCCGTCAATTAAGCATTTTTTGTTAATTTGAGAGATGTATGTGTCATAGTAATGAAATATCAGACTAACGTGCAATTAAATTAAAGTTTAGTGACCTAATTGAAATTTGGCGAAAGTTCCACGAGGGTAGAATCGGTAGATAATTACCCCGTTGGAACATATCATCCCACTGTGGATAGACAGAGTATTGCTACAAAAACCCAGTTCACTCTTTTTCGTCCTCACAAGATAGTTGATAACATACAGCAATGGCTTTAAGTACTGCATCCTCAATTTCCTCATACAATTCCCACATTCTTCTCTCTTCTTATACTTCCTCATCATCTTCTAATTTGAGCCCTATTCAATTGCACTTCCCATGTTTTCAATTTCAAAGAAAAACAAAAATTTGCGCCATTGCTCCTGCTTCTAAGCGACGATTTCTTACAAAAATTAGGTCTGTTGCTGAGGAAGAAGAAACCCTTGTTTCAGTAGCTGAAGCATCTCCGCCGCCAGCTGCCGCCACTACTGATCAGACCGTTTCCATTCCCGTCTCCCCTTCTGATGTCCTCACTATGCTCTTTCAGGTATTTCTGTGTATTTATTAAGGGGATAAAATTTTATTAAAGAGAAACTCTTCAAATGATTACGGGTTTGCGATTCAAAAGGAGCATAAATTGTTCCGAGTCCATATTTATGAAAATTGTGCTGGGGAGTGTTGAGTTTGAACCTCAAATAAAATTAGTTTATTTTCAAGAAAAATGAACTTATTCAATTTAATTGGATGACAAAGACGCCAAAATACTACTTAATTTAATTACTCAACCAAGCACCTTGGCCTAAGTAAATCTCTACACACAGCACCTCAATTAATCTCAATATCTCCACTCACTATTGCATTCATACTCATTACATACGGCCATCTTATATTTATAGATAACATTGGCCGTGGAAAGAAGAAATAAAATCAGCAAGCTCTAGATAATTCCAATTATGGTGGTGCACTTAAATTATAATAAGTAACTAGAGTTTCCAGAATTTTCTACATGCTTAAGTCTAGCAAATTGTAGACATTTAAAAGTTGGTTACGATTTCTTCAATTCTTCCAATTAGTGTAAACTTTTTAATTTGACTCTTTCTTTTTCGTCTCATCCAGGTGTGTCGGAAACTTGACAAATTTTGAAAGGCTCTGTCCTTCATTCAACACATCTACTCCCTCAAATATATCTGTCTCTTTCATACTTTCATCTTCTATTTCTAGGATGGCATACTTGCTATTTGATTTCTCGTGTCTACTCGACTTCCTTATTTGTGGTTGTGAATTTGTACGTGCATCATTCTCTTCTTGTAGACTCTGTCCATCCTCCTCTAGTATTTTCTGGTACACTTCATCTTGCCCAAGACTCTGTGTTGCTCTTATAAACTCTTCTTTATTACTTGACGCTTGTAGATCTTTAAATTTTCTTGAATTTGCGTTACCTTTCGATGCGCTTGTTCATTGATTGACTCCATAGCATCCTTTATTTCCTTGAGCTTTACTTCGCTGATTTGTTCTAACAACTTCTCCTTCAGCTTGTCATCAGATTCTATTGAATCTGATAGCTCCATACTCTGGCAATGCCTGCAAAGAATATGCTTCTTCAATCACTTCTATTTCTTTTGAGTCTAGTAGTTCCTCCCTCAACCGAGTACACCAAGAAAACTCTTCATGAAACGCGCTGTCCTCTCCTAAGTCATAAACCCGATCATCTTTGTAATCCATTTATTCAGGGAGAACCATCACCAAAGCAGATGACATCCTTTAGACTTGAATTGAATTCTTTCTCTCGAGCCTGCTCAATTACTGTTGTAAATGCCTCAGCATCCCATTCTTCTTCTCTAATGTATTCATGTTGCTTGTTGAAGGTTGCTACATTGCCTTCCATTGGCTCCTTTTTAAACTAGCAAATGTCTAGCATAATGACCTCGTTTTCTACATATAAAGCACAAGTTATTAGTTCGTTGATATTTCTTGGACGAATGACCTCTTTTGTCGAGACTTTATTGGGCTTTCCTTGTCTGAGAACTTTTTTCGCGTTTATTTTTTTAATTTTTTATTACTTTGTTGATGGGATCGGCGTATTTTTTATAATTATATAGTGCTTCCTTGACATTGTTTTTGTCAAACGCTTCTTGGTCAGCTAGCAAATTTTCAAGATTTACCGGTGAAGGTTGCTCAACCAACTTTGTATTGCAACAATGAAACCTCTAAGTTTGGGTATCAATCCGTGTATGATTATTCTTCCCATTCTAGCTTCTGAGATTTTACTCGTAGCTTATAATTCAGAAGTTTCACAGACAGAGATATTTTATTTTATTAAAATATTGATTTATCATGATTTCTCCTTGGGCGATAGAGAGCAACTCATTTTTCAAAAGTTACAGCCTCTAAGTGATTTTTCTTTGTGAATAGTACAACCAAATTGTCCCTTGCTCCCTTCGATGTGTTTCTATCCCTTCGTATATGTTCCATCAATTCCTCTTCATTGTTGTCTTTATCATGAATATAGCCTTAGTGTGTGTTTGATGCACATTTTTTTAAGGAGAGAATGCATTTTTTTTTGTGATGTGATGGTGAATATGTGATTGAAAAAGAAGGGAAAGTTATTGATATGATGGAAAATATTATTTTATTGAAGAATGTATGGTTGAAAATATGTAGAAGAATGAGAATGTGACTCAAACAGAGACTTGCTTTAATTCTCCACTTCTTCAGCTTCTTCTAATAGTGTCAGGTCACTTTTGCCAACTAGTTCTCATAAATCTTGCCCTCGGAGGTACGACTCCATGCAAATTTGCCATGCTGTGTAATTTTGATTGTTGAGATTCTTCACCCTGCCTATCACTTGTAGGTCAGCCATTGTGACTTGAATGAACTCCTTCAAGCAAGCTTTGTAAAAACTTCGCAATTTCACTTGATGCACGGACTCCAGAAGCTCAAAAAATCCAGCCCTGACCGCCTTGCTCTGATACCAAATTTGTTGAGTTCACCTTGGCCTAAGTAAAACTCCACACACAACACCTCAATTAATCCTCAATATCTCCCCTCACTGTTGCACTCATACACATTTCGTACAGCCATCTTATATTTATAGAAAACATTGGCAGTTGCAGCTTCGTTACAATTCCAATATGTCAATGACTGTTTTCTTCTACAACGTTTCTATATTCACGGTGGAAAGAAGAAATAAAATCAGCAATCTCTAGATAATTCCAGTTATGGCGGTGCACTTAAATTCCAGCAAGTAACTAGAGTTTCCAGAATTTTCTGCATGCTTAAGTCTAGAAAATTCTAGACATTTCAAAGTTGGTGATGATTCTTCAGGGAGTTCGGAGGCATAGTGTAAGTAACTAAAGTTTGTAGCATTTTAAAAAGTTTTTAGACTAGTTGAGGTCGAGTCTTGCCTTATACATTTATGAAAATTGTGCACGTGTTAGTTCTTAGATAGAATGTCAATGTGCATGAATGAGGGTACTTGTTACGAAACATTAAGTATGATGAATTCTTGCACAGTTCATCATTTGTTTCACTAATATGGGACGATAACTAATGATAAATGTGGCATAATTCCTTTTATATAGTATATGCTAATTAACAGTTGCTTGAGTTGCTAGCACGATACTGTTAAGAATCATCACTCTGGCTCTGACTCCCATTTTATGCCTTCTTGAAATGACTAGGCAGAAGGATCAATGACTGACGCCGCTATTCCCACAGTGACCAAAGCTTTGGAGGTATTCATTTATATAATACTTTCCTTTTTAAAATTTGTGACGTACAGTGACATTTGTTTTCTTGACATTTGAAATGTTTGAAACTAGAACATCAGGTCTCAAGGTTAAGTCGAACTGTCTAATTTTCTTAAGTTTATTGTTTTTCTTATGGGATCTGTATGGATGCACAATGATCCCTGGATCAGAAACATACCTCATGGATTTTCTGTAGCATTGAACCTTTTACTAGTTGCTCCATGTTGTACCTTTTTTTTTTTTTTTTAATATGAGTTCATTTCCCTTTTGCATTTTGACTTATGTTGCTCAAGTAAATGTATGAAGGCTATTTCCATCGTTTCCTATCCAACTCTTTCTTCATGCCGCTTAAATCCTGTATAGCCGTTGCAAGTCTAGGAAATCTGTTTCTAGGAGTCCATATAAATGTGTTATGGTTATCATGAAAATATTAGAAACTATCAATTTCAAAGGGACTCGAGTCTTACAAATTGCAAATGCTGGTAGATAAAGAAATCGTTAGAATTCCCAAGCAGTGGAAACACCTCTAGTCCCCAAGTAACTTTGAAATAGCTACACAGAAAACTGACCACTTCTAATTATATGACAGCATGTTTGCCTAAGCTTCAAAAAAGAGTTAATACATTTTCTACAGTGTGTCAAAAACTGTAAAAATGTTGAAAATTCAAAAAAGAAAATGTAACTTTTAAAATCTCAAAACATGATTTGCAAAAAAGTTACTTTTAAGTGACTTTTAAGCTTAACCAAATATGCTCCAAGCTCAACAGAATCACCTGTGTAGATCTTCATTCCAAGATGGTAAAACACTGGCAGGGTGACTTTACCTTTCTTATATTCCAGTGGTTGAAAACATTCGTTTGTATTAAAATTTGTATATTACTTCAAAAATTAGGCACTACTCAATCTTCCAATTATAGATGAGAGTGTATGAGTTCATGCATAGTCATTCTTTCTGATGTATCTATTTGTATGTATGTAGGATGTAGAAGGTGTTACAAATCTCGAAGTACAAGTTATTGAGGGCATTGCCAATGTGAAGGTGAAGCTTTACTACTTGTTTCTGGTTACATAAGATTAATTGGCCCCATTTTGTTGTGAAAATGAGTTTTGTAATAGTAATTTTTTGGAAAATGTCTTGTTAAAAAGTAAAGAAAAGTTTTGGATTTAAATAAAAAATTATTTCATTGGGAGAATGTGTAATTGAAAATAAGTCCGAGAAAAAATGAATTTTAGAGAAAATGGGGCATAAATAGGGGCTAACAATTTTCTCGTTAAGAAGCGAAGAACTTATGGAAATTGATGCAGAGAAAATTATTTATGTTTTTTTTTTCCCTGTACTTTCTTAAATGAGTTTTTTCAATTTCAAACCCAAGAAAGTTCTAAAAGACTTGAAAGGTAAATCATTTGTGAATCCAGCTATAGTAATTTTGTCTATAGATGCTTGTTTAGTTGAAATGCATTCTTCTCACGCTCGAAGAGTGTGATGTTAATTTTTTAACATTTTAGAAGCATGTTTGGCTGGGCTTAAAGAGTTTACTTAGAAGTATACAAGTCTTTCTTATAATAAATAAGGTAAGAGTTTCTTTTGAAATGAACAACATTAATACTTTAAAGTAAGAAAAACATTGAGTAAAACAAAAATGTTAAGAAACAAGAAGTTTCTTTTACTTACTTTTTAAGCCTATTGAAGCATGTTTCTAGAAAATTATGAAACTGATCCATGGTGTGATTTGATCTTGCTTTCCATGTTTACGAGCTTTCGGTATCAAAGAACTGGACTGTGAAGATTATTTAAGAAAATAGAATATCATCTAAATTTTTTTCGATTCACGATCAATATCACTATGGTAAGTTGTTGATCTCTTGCCATGTTGTGTAGTTAACAAAGCAAACAACCGTACAAGCTACAGGGGTGGCTTCAAGTTTGGTCGAGATAATACAGGGGTCGGGCTTCAAGTTACAAACATTGAATTTGAGCTTCCAAGACGAAGAAGATTTCAGTTAGATATTTAACTGCTTGGCAATTTGTGAAATACAATGTGTTTATTGAAAGTTTTTACTCAAAATTTGAATCAAAAAAGGTCAATGGAAGAGATTATGGAGATTATCTTTCCATAATTAGTTTGTATGTGTAATTTCGTTTTCAGTTTACGGCATGATTATATTTATTATATATAGACTCAAACCATAGATGAAATCTCTACGATCTAGCCGTACGGATCCTCACGCGAGGGCATTCAACGAAATTTTTATATGGTATTAGAGCTTACCTCTGGAATTCATCGCTGAGTCCTCTGTTATTTCGATTTCTCTGGTTTCCATGTTGTCGGCCTTCGGTGCTCGGGTTCTTTACATCACCGGGAGTGTCCTTGCTTTCGGGTAGTTCTTTTAGGATTTATTGCATATTTTCTTCCATAATGGTAAGCATGATTAAAGACTAGTAGATTAGGTGTCAACTAAGGTTCTTTTCTAAAAGGTTGACCCCGCCCCGCGAGCATTGTGGAGTAGGTAAATCGCGGGATGTACCTCAACAGGTAGAGTACAAGAGTTGATATACTGGTGCTCACAAAGAGTTCAATTTCATATCTTATAAGAGACAGGAATCGAACCATCACACTGCAACTGCCAGTTTAGTTGAGACTATCTCACTCATATCCTTTGCACCTTTGAGTTATGCCTCGGGAGGGCAACTAAGGTTCTTTTCTACTTTTTGGATTATGTGTTTATTGTGCATAGATGAATTGAGAGAGTATTTTTCTCTTTATTTGCATTTTACGTAGTGATGTTCATAGTACACTGAAGAAAGAACATCTGTTTTAGAATATAACAGCCTGTTTGGGAGCCATTAATTCTACATTTTAATGAAAATATAAACGTTGCAACAGTAAGGTGAACAGTGATTCAGCCACAATATTTGAAAAATGAATGGGAGCCGTCTTTTTTTACTTTGAAACGTCAAAATTGTCTAATTTATGAAAATTGAATGCAGATCTTTTCACCAAAAAATTTTAATTGACTGCCAAAGTGGGGCCCGCTCACTGTATAAGGTCGTATTTTTAATTTTTATTTTCGAATAATGACGTCCAGGGGCATAATGATACTCTAGTTGCATAAATAAATATAAATTATTCTAAAATATTAATACTAATTATTTGAGTAAACATTTAAGTGACATTGATCACTTTAAGATAATATCCCACGAATACTTGCGATGAAAAGGATAATATAACACTATCTATTATTTTTAAAAAGAATAAATATTGACTACTATTCAGGGCCGGCCATGAGAATTTAGAGGCTCTAGGCGACTAATTGTTATGGGACCTTTCAATATAATCATTTTTTCACAAGTGTAACAAAATTTAAATATTTAAATAATCAACACTTTTATATTAATAAGAAGACTTTCTATAATTCAAAAGATAGAATGAAACTCTACTCAGTGAGGTACTACTTTAACTTGTTCTGACATACCTAGCTAGATATTCAATCACCTTGTTGATTACCATATAAGGGGGTTCTTGTGTCAGGAATACTTGCGTTGAAAAGCATAATATAACACAATCTATTATTTTTAAAAAGAATAAATATTGACTGGCTGACCCCGAGAATTAAGAGGCCTAGGTGACTAATTGTCATGAGGCCCTTCAATATAATAATTTTTTCACAAGTGTAACAAACTTTACATATTTAAATAATTAACAATTTTATATTAATAAGAAGACTTTCTATAATTCAAAAGATAGAATGAAATTATATTCAGTGAGGTACTACCTTAACTTGTTATGATATAGTTGTCTATATATTCAATCACCTTGTTGATTACCATATAAAGAGGTTCTTGTGTCAACATATGTAGTCAAAATTGTGTTACAGTTGCACTAACGTTACTGCTTGTTTTAAATTATGTGGTAGATTGGGGAGCTGAAATCGAAGCTAAATGAGGATGGCAAAAGTGAAGGCATAGTTCATGTGAAGGAATAAACAATTGTGCCTGAAATAGATGAAAAAAGCAAAGTTGAAACCACGGTAAATTCTCTGACTAAATGCGATAATGATTCCACTTATTTGAACTTAGAGAATCTCAATGGCACCAATGGAGTAATTTCTGCATCAATTTTTATTGATTTCAAAGATGGATCCTCTGATAGCACATATTCAAGTGCTATCTTGAATGAAGACAACAATAGTCTGACTGTTGCTATATCTTTATCTACTGGTGGGGTGAGCCCACATCAATTCTTGGACTTACAGAATGGAACCACTTCAACAATAGCCCGACTGCTGCTATAACTTCATCTACTAGGTATTCAGATAAAGTGCTTGAAATAAAGAGAAAAATACATAATACAAATGAAAAAAAAAACTGCATATTCTTAAAACAAATAAAAAGAAAATTATTTACGTATCATTATAATTCTCTACATCTAAATCCATTGATTTTTTGGGTGTGATGCCTTAATATTTATGTAGAATTCAATATTTCTCGGTGTTAGGGGTAGGGGTGGGCATAGGTTGGGTTGGGTCGATTTTTGCGTCAATCCAAACCCAACCTAACATGATTGGTTTGATCAAAATTTAACATAACCCAACCCAACCCAATCAAGTATCAGTTGGGTTGGGTTGGGTTGGTCGGTTTGGAACGACTTGTCAACAAAAATTAAAGTCATCCAATTTTTTATTATACTAAATTCGAATAGACAAGATTAAATAGTAAGTAAATAAATAAATAAATAAAATTATCTATTATCTTATTCAATCCTCATTAGCCGAGCCTACAAAGAACAAAGTGCATTTAACATAACATAAAAANTCATACTTTTTAGGTTTCTTTTACTTTTCTAGACATTTCATTTCTTTTATTTTTATTTTTCTTTTTTTAAAGTGGCGAGTTGGGTTGGGCGGGTTTATTCGATTTTCTTGCATTAACCCATAACCCGACCCGCCTACACATCCAACCCACCCAACCCAAGTAAAAACAACAAAAAAATCGACCAAATCCGGTCGGGTTGGTTCTGTTTGAACGATTTGAGCGAGTTCGGTCGGGTTTTGCCCATCCCTCGTTAGGGGAAAAGCTAGCTTTACAATTAATTACTGTTTTATCAAGTTAGGCCAACTTCTAAAACCCTTGAATTGAGATTTCCTGTGAAGTACCCGTTTCGTCAGTTTGCTTAGGGGTTAAGAATCTCATTAAAGGTTGTGCCATGTTATAATTGTTCTACTACTCTACTAAATAGACCTTCTTAGTGTGACAATAGTGTTATGTTCTCTGATTTCTTCTTATAATTATTTAATTTATGCTGATTTCAAGGGCTTATGATATGTAAACAAAGACAGCTATGTGGTAAGGTGATTCTTCTCACAATATTTTCCGTGCTTATATTTTCACTATAAAGTGATGGAGGGACCAAAATGTGGTGTGCATATAGTGTGTATATGTCTTTACACTAGGGTTTATATATTTTTACTTCAGAAAATATGATGAATATACTGATATACAGTAGCTAAAATCATCAATCTGCAAAACAAGAAACATTAGAAGATGAGAGAGAGAGAGAGAAGCAGGCAGAAGGCGCTAGGCCCTTAAAATCTGAGGCCCAAGGCAGCGGCCTTACTTGCCTTGGACCAGGGCCGGCCATGGTACTATCGATACTGGGGGTTGTCACCTTGTTTGGAGAAGACAGTAGTTAGCTAATTTACTAATTTACCATTTAGTGTAAGCAATTTGTCTTAATTGTGGAATAGCATTATCCGAATAGTAATATTGTACACTCAACGTGTATTGGATTGAATCATGTGTTTTAACTTATTCTATAAAAGGGTAATTAGTACATAACATCTTTAACTTTAATTATTATAATAAAAAACATTCATACCTTTCATTTTTCTTTGTATTTTCGCCCTTGGTTACACATTTGACTGCTCAAAATGTCATTTTCATCCAATTTATTTGTTAAAGTGAAGGGTATTTTCATTATTTTTTTCTCTTTCTTCCCAAATTGAACCCATTTTCCCTCTATTTTTTCCTTTGAAATATCAAATTCGACCAAATCCAAATTGGCCATGTTCATGTATGCTCGAGCCCTTCTGTAAGGTGCCTTCACGTTTGTATTCTAGAGTTCCAATACCTTCACACACTTTTCTTATTAAACAGATGAAATTCATGATTTGAAATGACAATTAAAAGAAACCAATTATCCAAATAGGCAAACCTTTGTACATACCTTCTTTGCCTACTTATAATCTTGCAGTTTCAATATGCAAGCTACATTGTTCATGTTGCAAGTGTTCTTCAGTGCTTTGGACTGTTTCTTTTCCTTCTCACTGAAGGAGGTGTCATACTCAATGTACTTTGCAGCTTGAGTTCAAAATCCTCCATGTAAGGCACATGACTTAACGATACACATCAAATATTAGAGTGAATTCCCTATTTGGTCACTGAACTTAGCGCCATGCACGCAAGGGGTCACTGAACTTTCAAAACAACTCAATTAGTCACTGAACTTTACAATTATTCATCCCATCAGTCACCGAGCTAATATCTGTTAAAAAAAATTGACGAAAATTCCATGTGGCAGCTTACGTGGCTAGATAGCTCACCTCAATCAAGCCAACTCGTCAATAATTGCTACACACGTGGCATTTCTATCTTTTGAAAAACGTTTTTTCAAAAAAAAAAAAAATGAAAAGGGTTTTCACTCATTAAACCCGTCTCTCCCCCCATTTCTCCCTCAAATCCACCCGTCTCTCTCCCCCCATTTCTCCCCCAAATTCCACTCACCCTCCCCCGAACGAGTGGTGATTATACGCATGGGTGAATTGATAAAAAAATAGGAAACCATAGGCATGGGTGGCCGCACGCAATCAATGGAGACGAACTTAGTGTTGATGGAAATGGCGTCCTGAACAACCAGGAACTTATTTGTTTGTTTTTTGGTTTTCCTACTCTCTACTTATATATATATTTTTATATTTGTAATAATTTTTCCCCAACCTGAAGGAGAAATGTTGCTTTTCTGTTCTCCATGATTGTACACGCTCAAAGTTCGAATTTAGTGTATTGAAGAGGGGTTATATTTTGTCCATCATGATAATGAAAAATGAAAAAGTAACATTTATAGAGTACTGAATATAGGGCTGTTGGATTGTGTGGGAATTTGGGGGAGAAATGGGGGGAGATAGACGGGTGGATTTGGGGGAGAAATGGGGGGGGAGGGGGAGAGACGGGTTTAATGAGTGAAAACCCTTTTCATTTTTTTTTTTTTT